GCAAATGTTCACCTCATATGCCTGTCTTTTGTTTGGCTGGAAGCCAGGAATAGGTTCAATTCCAGACCTGAAGGGCAGCTAGGGGCCATAGTCTCAGTGGTTCCATCAGGCTCTATCAGACTAGCAAACATGGTCCCCTCCATTTTTTTTTTTTTTTTTTAAATGATTTTGATTTTTGTTCCACATTGTTTTCCCACTCTATCCAGGATCTCCTACACAGATCCCCCTCCAGGTGGTTGACAGTGGTAGCTGGGCACCAACTAGTTCTTCTGGTCTCATAGTCATATAGGCTGAGGATTGCATGGTGTACCAGTCACTTGGACTAATTATTTCCATGAATTTTTGTTTTTCTTCTTTCTTCTTTGCTGTGGATGAGGAGAGACCCATTGTTACATCTAGATGGCCGCTCGCAAGCTTTTAAGATCCCAGTCATTACTCGCCAAAGCAGGATGTGGAACAATGTTTTCTGTAGTATGTTATGCCAGTTGAGCTTGATGTTCCCTGAGACTATGGTTCTGAGCCCACAGGTCCAACTACTCATTTCCTCTGGGTAGCTGGCTGTGACCAAGAAGTGACTACAACCTTGTCCCTTGTCAGCTCTACTATACACCTGGGCATTCTTACAGAACATACAGATACACTTGTAGAAACAATGTCTGCCAACTCTATACATGGTCTTGGGCACACTCCCCCCTGCGTAGACTTACCTAATAGTCCAGCCTGTCTATCCATCTGTCCACCTGTATAGCTATGTTTGTCTTCACTGACAACACAGTACTGTATGTGCAAAAGGGTTCATCTTTGTTGTCTGTACCTCCCATATACCTCACTATGTCTTCCTCTTCTTCAATGCCACCAAGTTGATCACTCACATTTGGTACATTGCCCTTCTCTTCACTCAAATCAATACTTGTCTCTACTTATCTAACAGTATTCCCTCCCCTCCCACTCCTGGTAACCAACAAAGAAAATTTCCTTCCATATATAAACTTTTCCTTGACTTTTTATAATAACAGACTAATACAATATTTGTCCTTCTGTGATTGACTTATTTCACTCAGCATAATGTCCTCCAAGTTCATCCACATTATGTGGTGTTTCACAGATTCTATGTTATTCTTTAGGGTTGCATAGTATTCCATTGTGTGTATGTACCATAGTTTGCTTATCCATTCCTCAGTTGATGGACACCTAGGTTGTTTCCATCTTTTGGCTATTGTAAATAGTGCTGTGATGAACGTGGGTGTGCATGTATCTGTTGTTATTCTGGCTCTCACTTCTTCAGGATATATAACTAGTAATGGGATGGGAGCTCTGGTAGCATAGTGGCTAAGGCACTTGACTGCTAACCAGAAGGCTGGCGGTTCAAACCCACCAGCCACTCCTCGGAAGGAAGATGAGGCAATCTACTTCTGTAGTGATACTGCCTCAGAAACCCAAGAAGGGGTCTCTATGAGTCGGGTCCGACTCGACAGCAAACAACAACAACAACAACAACAATGGAATGGCTGGGTCAAATGGTATTTCTAATTCCAACTTTTCAAGGAATTGCCATCCTGTTTTCCACAGTGGTTGTAACATTTTACAGTCCCATCAGCAGTGTATGAGAGTCCTAATCTCTCCGCATCCTCGCCAGCATTTGTTACTTTCTGTCTTGTTGATCTTTGCTACTAGTGCTGGGACAAGATGGTATCTCATTGTTGTTTTGATTTGCATCTCTCTAATGGCTAATGAGAAGGCTGGCGATTCAAACCCACCAGCCACTCCTCGGAAGGAAGGTTGGGCAATCCTACTTCCATAGTGATACTGCCTCGGAAACCCAAGGAGGGGTCGCTATGAGTCAGGGCTGACTCAACGGCACATAACAACAACAACAACAATGGCTAATGATCATGAGCCATTTCTGCATATGTTTGTTGGCTGCCTGCATATCCTCCTTGGTGAAGTGTCTATTCATGTCTTCTGCCCATTTTTAAACTGGATTATTTGTCTTTTTGTTGTTGAGGTGTTGGAGTTTTCTATAAATTCTAGAGATAAGTCCCTTGTCAGATATGTCATTGAAATGTGGCTTTTTTAATGATGGTGATGATGTTTGGTGTGAGAAGAAGAAATAGGCACTCCACCCAAGTCTTCTTGTACTTGGGAATTCTTAACTATGGCTCAGGGTTTTTGTCTTCATGTCCCATCCTATCATTTAGAGAGGAATATACTTTGTGAAACTACTTAAGCCTAGACTTTGTTTCCTCTCACAGGCATTGATTTGATTTTCATGCTTATTTTTAAGAATAAATAAGTGTGTAATTTTCATGGCCCACACAACCTGGATCTGCCTCTGTGTCTTACAGTAAGCATGACGATAAAAACAAACAAAACCTCATTACTGTTAAATAGATTACAAATCAAAGTGACCCAGTAAGCATGATGATAAGGAACTAAAATCACTTACTCACAACTACCACCAGTTGCTCATGAGTAGATGCTGATTCATGGCTACCTCACGTGTGTCTGAGTAAAACTGTGATGCATAGGGTTTTCAATGGCTGATTTTTCAGAAGTAGATCACCAGGCCTTTCTTCCAAGGTGCTTTGGGTAGACTTGAACCAGCAACCTTTTGGTAAGCAGTAGAAATTTGCTGCCTCTTAAAGCCCAACTGATGACTCACTCCCTCTTTTAATTCACCACCAACCCTCACATGACTGATTATTACTCTTAGCAACATGGTGCAATTATCACCCATTGCTCTCCCTGATTGACTGGACAGGCTTCAATTATTTGAGTTGTGTCTTATCTATCCCAATGTCCTGGTGCATAATAGGCATGCAATAAAGGTTTTTTGAATAAATGAATGAATGAATGGTGACTTGGATACTTTGGCTGTCCCTCAATTTGTAATAGGCTTGAGAATTCTAACTACTTCCTCAGAAGCTACAGAACCGTAAGTTATTTAAAATAACATCTCAGTTCGAATTAAAGCCAGTGACCTAGAAAAATATATTGATCTTTTAACATTTTTAATTCCTTAACCTGAGTAAGTTCACAAATTATAGTAAATCCACTTCCTCAGTGGCTGATTAGTCATACCTTGGGTTTCTTACTCGCCCCTGGTGGCGTAGTGCCTAAGGCATTTGACTGTTAACCAGAAGGCTGGCCACTCCTTGGAAGGAAGGTTGGGTAATCTACTTCTGTAGTTATACTACCTCAGATGCCCAAGGCGGGGTCCCTATGAGTTGGATCCAACTCAACAGCAGTGAGTTTGGTTTTTGGTTTTGAAGTCTGTTTTAGAGCCTCACAATAACTGTTGGCAATTTATTGAGCCTTTGCTATGTGTTACACCTTTTGTTTACATATATCAAGTGCTATATCATTACTTTATCAAATTTTACTAATACCTCAGTTAGAATGGAGCAAGCCAAAATAAAGAAAGCTTAAACAGATCAATAAATTAAATTGAACAGGTATGAATACTAGTTAGTAAGTCAATCAAAAAGCTTTAGAGGGAGTGGAGATTTCAACCATTGGATTTTAATGAATTCTGTCATAAATCTCAATGATCTACTCTGGCCTTGCTCTTACACCCATGCAGGCAATAAAGAGCTGAATATACTGTAACCAGGATTTTGTTAAAGATCTAGTAGTATCTTTGGCTTTTGCAAGTAGAAAAAATGGTCAGCCAGGTTGAAAAGAGAAGGAAAGTCTACGTAAAGAGAATAAAGTGTGAAGGGAGAACTAGAGAAGAAAAAATACTCAAAATTAACAAGACCACATGGGGGAAGTACAGAGTGAACAGGAAGAAAGATAAGTGAGGCAAAAGTACGGACCCTACAGCCAAGAAAACAAAAAGGGAAAAAAGTAAGAATGTAGGGTCCAATTCATCTTCTGCTGCATATAAATGAAAACTGAAGAGGTTTTAGAGACAGACACATAACAACACACTCCCTCAAAAGCCTGATTGTTCCCATGATTCTGAGCAATCCATCATTTGCTCAGAATCTTTTCTTAGAATTTAACTGACTCACTGATCCATGGAGTGAAAGTCCTCCAAATATAAAGACTTTTTTTTTTTTTTCCTCGTATCAATTTACTAAAGAAGCTGGCTCAGGCAGATGTTAATCAGACAGATTAACATAAACTCAGAAGTGTAATGTGGGATTCAATACTATTCACAGATAAAGAAGCTTGGAAAGCAATCTGGAATGATGTCATGGACCAATATTGCTATCTCTCTTCTAAAGCAAGTGTGGTTTTCATAGACTTTCAATATGTATTTCAGGGTTTCAACTGCATACCATCATCGCTCTTTATTCTCTACCAGAGAATGAGAATGACAGCACTCGCCTCAGAGATATTTTATCATTATCATTTCTCAATTTGTGCTGGTCGGAACAATATGTGTAAATGAAAACAGAGAGAAATTGCAAATGCCCTGCCCCTTTGAACAGCTGGTTTTGTGTTCACCATGATTCTTCACATCCCTTTCTGCTTCCACTTTTCTTTGACAAATGGCTTTATTTTCCCAGATTTCTGATAACTTCTAATATTCCATAAACTATTTACTGGTTCTCAATGAATGCCTCTTATTCTTCACCTCTGTCTGACCTACAGTCTCTTCTTTTAAGTCCAAACATGTTCCCGCCCCAAAAGCCTTTGGGAGAAATCAGGATTCGAGAGAGATGCTGTGTCATTTGTATACAGGACCCTAGTAAATTAAGGAAGATAACAGTCCCTCAAAGTCCTTTCATCCTTCTGCCTTGGGAGAACTGAGCCAATCACCTTGTCTTAAATGATTATAACAGCTTAGTTTCCTTAGTGACAAGGAGAAACAATATTTACTCAGGGAGCTCAGAATGGATTACTGTGGAGTAATTTGTATACACTTACACTACCAGGGGACTGATGGGCCCAGAGACCCTTCAGCTGCACAGGGTAGTATTTTCACTCACTTCTACTCCCATTCTTCTATCCACTGGCAACAACAAACCCCATAGAGGGAACACACTTACCTTCCTTGGCTTCACTTTATCATGGTAGTCATACTGGAAGATTCCTTTGTAGCTCAATCCCAGCCACCAAGGTATTCCCTGCTTGTCCTAGGAGATAAAAAGGAGTGTGGGTAGAAATGAGGCCTGGAGAAGATAAACACAAACTAAGAGAACACTTCCTGGCTCATTTGAAGACAAAGGAAAATGTCATTTCCTTGAAATGGATGGAAGCTAATTCTCTACTCTGTACCCTGTTATCTAATGGTGGTCCCTTACTGTGGGCAGAGCGACAAGACTGTGCTCTGGGCTAGGGCCCAGCTCTGTTCCTAACCAGAAACACAGCCATGGGCCCTTCAACTTTTATGAGTAAGTAATTAATGTAGTAGAAGCTCTGGTGGTGTAGTGCCTAAGGCATTTGACTGCTGGTGGTTCAAACCCACCAGGCACGCTTTGGAAAGAAGATTGAGCAATCTACTTCCATAGAGATGTTGTTGTTGTTGCTGTTATGTGCTATCGAGTCGGCCCCGACTCATAGCGACCCCTCCTTGGGTTTCCGAAGCAGTATCACTACGGAAGTAGGATTGCCCAACCTTCCTTCCGAGGAGTGGCTGGTGGGTTTGAACTGCCAACCTTCTGGTTAGCAGTCAAGTGCTTTAGCCACTATGCTACCAGAGCTCCCATAGAGATAGTGCTTTGGAAACCCAAGGAGGGGTCACTATGAGTCGCAACCGACTCAAAGGCAGTGAGCTTGGTTTTTTGGTTTGCAATCAATGTAGTGTTCTTTCTTTCTTTCTTTCTTTTTTTCCTTTTAAGACTTTAGGGTTGCAATGCTAGGTCCTTCATTCACCACAAAGGATGATTTGAGAGATGTTGAGCATTCTAATAAACTTCTGAGCAGAGAAGAGTCTGTGACTATCAGACCTAGAAGGGGCCATGAAGACTATTGAAGGGGATGCCTCTAATTCTAAAGATAAAGAAATCAAAGCAAAGAGCCCTTCCACTTTATCCAGGGTACCCCTGGTAGGCAAGGACAGCACAGGGTAAGAAGTTGCTCACAGGGAGATCCTGTCACCTTATGAGGAAACCCAGGTGCCCAGAAGGATTTTATGACCCTTATGCCATTGGGTAAAGTAGCAAAATCTAAACTCAGACATTCTGGGGACTAAATTAGAAACACTAAGTCTTTTTGTTTATTTATTTAACAGATACCTCTTGCCACCAGAAAGCATTATAAGCTGCAATTTATTTAAGAAGGATGGTTCAGAGCTATTAATTAAGATTCCCAAATGGTAAGATTTTTTTAGTGGGCATAGCAAGCAAACTTTTCCTATATTTATCCTAATTGCTGTGTCTATGACTAACCTAATATACTCTGTCTGGATGTCTTGAAAACTTAAAATTGGCATAATGGCTTTTATGTTTTAATTTAAAAAATTTTTTTTGTTGTTGAGAATATACACAACAAAATATAGACCAATTCAATGGTTTCCAGATGTACAACTTAGTGACATTAATTACATTCTTTGAATGGTGCAACCATTCTTACCCACCTTCCATGAGTTGTTCCTCACTCATTAACATAAAGTCACTGCCTCCTAAGATTTGTATCTAATCTTTAGAGTTGCTGTTGTCACTTTGATGGCACATAGATAGTCCTTAAAAAAGCACAGTGTTCAAGGCAGACTTTTGTTTTTTCACTAATTAAGCTAAACTACTGTTCGGTCTTAAGGAGACTCCAGGGGATATTTTGGTTTAAGTTTTAAAGATTATCTCAAGGCAATAGTTTCAGGGGCTCATCTACCTTCTATGGCTCTAGAAAGTCTAGAGTCCCTCAGAATTTAAAATTCTGTATTTGACTCCTTTTGATCAGTATTCTGCTATGGAATCTCTGATCAAAATGTTCAGTAATGGTAGCCAGGCAACTATCCAGTTCTTCCGGTCTCATGGCATAGGAGGCACTTGTTCATGGAAGCAATTAGCTACATATTCCATATCCTCCTCCAGTTCCTAATTCTCCTTCTTTCTCTGTTGTTCCAGATGAACAGAGACCAATTGTTATGCCCTGGATGGCTGCTAGCAACCTTTTAAGACCCCAAGCACTATGCAATGAACTAAGAGAACATTAGCACTAAACACATTATTAGGCCAATTAACTGTATGTCCCATGAAACCATGACTCTAAACCTCTAAGCCAAGGAACCAAATCCTATGAGATCTTTGTTGAACATAAAAAGCTTCAGCAGAGGCGGGGCAAGATGGCGGACTAGGCAGAAGGATTGCACAGACCCTCTTCAACAAAGAAAAGGGAAACTAATTAACACAAACACAGAAGATAATCTTGGACCCCTGAGCCTTGAAGGAAAGGATGCAGATTTGGACTAAACCCCAACTAGCAGAAGAATTTGTG